CTGGTTAATCAGGTTCATGTACGTTCCTGAAGACCTCTGATGCTCACCGAAATTTTTAGCAGCTTTTAGAATAATTAAATTATGGGACATTATAAAAAGTGAGCTCATCAATTCCGAAAATTCTAGGGAGACAGTTACTATGGTTTCCCTAAGAAAATCGAAAAGTCTAGAGCATCGCTTAGCAAAAAATTTCGAGATTTTTAGGCAACCTTCCATCCGACCAGATATTTTACCGAAATATTCCGTTGGGTACCCCTGAATGGTATGTGATAGCCAGCCTTTACTTTCATCCATACCAGATACAACGGCATCAACTTTTATCTATCGTCATAGTGACGATGAAAAAAATTCTTATGTTAATGTGATGTGTAACTGACGCAGTCATCATCAGAAAATAAGGTGACATTGTGTTCAGTGATTTATGCAAGTAGTTCACAATTTACATTCACAGACTGGAGGATGCAATGGCGTATTGCAGGGTGATATTGTTGATTCAACGTTAACATCACCAAGACTGGTGCTGCAGTACCTTCACGCTGCACTCCCTGGTAAACTGACCAGCCTGTGGTGCCAAACTACACTAGATCTCAACGTAGTAAGGACCCCAGAGACGTGGTGCACAGCGCCCATTATCCTTGCCCCAGTCATGGAGAAATGGTCAGGGAGGAACCCTGTAAAAAATCCTCCCAAATTGTCCAGAGCTGCAGGCTATGCCTCAGGAGCGAATGATGAAAATTTGTTCCACAACGGCCAAGAAAGAGACAATATTCCATCGGTCAAACATCCAAAGCCGAGATAGCCTTCTACCACCCGGTAACCAAGTATGGCGGAGGTTGTGCACTGGATTAGCAACCCGATCACGGAAAAACTTCGTTGTAACAGAAACCATGACTACAGATGCAACTGAACTTTTCATGCTCTTATGTCCCAGCCGGGACGATGAGGACGAGTGAGTGATTCACAGACTACAAAATCACCTGTGTTTCTCGACACATGAGCAATAAGCATGGGTATAGCAAATGTCCAATTTTGCCCAAGGATAAGCTCCTTCTCTATATGTTTGGGAGCGCAAGTACGACTCCACGTAGAAATTTAGCTCAGTAAGGAAAAAAAGTAGCATTTGAGGATCAGAAGCTCGTTATGAGTTTGAGAGACAAAAATAGCACTTTGTGTGTTTAAGGTGATGGACAAGTTGTGCATCTAAATATACGAAAAAGAAAATAAGTGGAAGGTGTGGAAAGAAAGACCACTGAACTATCGCTTGAAAAGCAAAATAAGCACCCCATACGTAGCGATAGATCGAGATGGACAAACTTTACTATTAGGTAAACGCCAATAAAAATAAGCAGGAAAAAATCATATGGGAAAGAAACATAGTGTGATTTGAAAAATAATCGACCTCCAAGGGGGCGAGGGACTGTTTGGACCTGATGTAAAACAACTGACAAGTCTTTCACGATCTGACTTCCTGATGTCTTCGTCAGACGGATGGCTGCCGTCTGAGTTAGATCGACTCCTCATTACGCACCCAAACAAGAACAAACGAAAATTCTTTAAACAAAGCAATTTGAAACAACAGGAATTATAGGCTCGATTTCTGTTGCTCTCTTGAGTCCGGTCTGGATTCCTCCTCGAGAAGCTTTTTGGGGGAGAAGTGCGGGCTCATTTCCCGAACAGCGGCTGGTAATCGAGCCTACAAGAACTATTCTCTTTCAATAAGACGCAAATATGTTGTCGGGCATTGTAATTGAATTTAGCCCATTTCCTAATTTTCTCGGACTCTAGCCACGATTTCAACCGTTTCTGTTCTCTCTCTCTCTCTCTCTCTCTCTCTCTCTCTCTCTCTCTCA